AAAGGGACACACACCGGAGCTAAGAACCCAACTGAACTCAAATGACAGCACAGGAAACATCCACCTCACACACCAAGAAGAAACAAATAATACAGAACATTTTCAGTATTAATTCATTCATTTTGCAGTACTAGTGCAGTAGGACAGTAGGACAGTAGTAGTACTAGTGCAGTAGGACAGTAGGACAGTAGTAGTACTAGTGCAGTAGGACAGTAGTAGTACTAGTGCAGTAGGACAGTAGGACAGTAGTAGTACTAGTGCAGTAGGACAGTAGGACAGTAGTAGTACTAGTGCAGTAGGACAGTAGTAGTACTAGTGCAGTAGGACAGTAGGACAGTAGTAGTACTAGTGCAGTAGGACAGTAGGATAGTAGTAGTACTTGTGTACTGTAACGCCCAGCATGATTCACCTACATGTTTGTAAAAGTGAAGGATTCCTGCCAAACACATCAGCACAAACAGAAGTACAAGACGCTCCTGCCTCGTCTCTGGATCCTTCATGCTGCTCTTTTCTTACATTGTTTGAAGTGTTCAGGAATGGCTTCATTAGGTTCATTGTGTTCATTGTGCGTTTTGGGAGATTGCGCTGGTCAGACCTGTAGTTTTGTGTTGCACTTTGACATATTTCAGCATCATGTGACACTTCAGAAGCTGAAACACCACACAAAAACAGTCCTGTAAAGAGTACAATCCTGCCCAATGCTCAGCCCACAATACTACTCAGTATATATTTATTCATAAATATACAAAACACTGCTCTACAACTTCACAACCCTCATGTGATGTGAAGACGTTTTGTGAGTTTGATTCATGCTGACAGTATGTTTGTACAGTGATGGAGCACTGAAGAGGGAGTCACTCAGATTGTCAAAAACATTAAGTCTTTAACTGTTTTTTTTTCTTTTTTTTTTTTTTTTATCTTGCATTATTAGTCTAAGATCAAAATGTTCTGTTTCACCTTTTGATGTCATGAAACAGTAGTTTTCAAGTTCACCACTATCATTCAGGCCTGACTGACTGTAATGAAGATGTATAGAGTTTAAAAACACAATGGAGCACTTCCTGTATTACCATATGACATCACAGGTTGGAACAGAGTGTTTCGTGTTTAGGAGAAGAACTCAGCCTAAATCTGCAGCGTTTGTGTGTTAAACATGTAGTTTTTAAGGAGGAAACTACATCATAGCAGAGATTAGACAACAGGGTAAAATGGGCCCTTTAAGACTCTCTGGTTGTTGGGGAAAATGGACTAAAACCTCATTTGAACTGAACTCCCTGAAAACTCCACATTCCCATTGTTTGAGCCCATGAGCCATGCGTAATCCCCCCTCACATACGTCGCACAGACCTCCCAAAGCCTCAACTATAAGAGTGCTACAGAAGATGATGTGGGCCCATTACGAGTGCTGCAGATTGTCCTGCTCCACACACATCACACACATGACCTTAATATGCACATGAGGCAGTGCAGAGAGTACAGCTGCAGTGGGCAGGAGGCCAGGGGGCTCAGGGAGGTGATGGCACACACTCCACAACCGCTCACGGAACAGGCCTGACCTCTACTGGTCATGTACGGTAACTACACTGTCTCGGGCACAGGGGTCTGGGCTCTTTGTGTGTCAGCGTTTGAAAAGAAAAAAGTAGAATCTGGAAAATCTGAAGGTGCACTGTGTAACTTTTATAGTGAATGGTGTGTCAAATGCTTGTCTCAGTGGAGATGTTATGACTCTGTCTAAATGCCTTTTCTTGTTTCGCAGTGTGGCATTAAAGTATTCATCCTGCCTTTACTCTGTTACATGTGTTTTTATTGACTTAAAAACACGCATTCTTACTGTGAGTGGGCTTGCCTCTCCAGAGATCTGATCCTGTGACTTGGCCCTGTGGCATCACTGGCTTGAGCTTTCTTGAGATACAGTAAATATATATATATATTTTAAAGTGTAATACCATACTGTGGAACATCCTCATGCAGAGAAGCATATGACAGACCCTCCCTCAGAAAGGTTACACAGTGCACCTTTAAATTTAGGACAAGAAACAAAAATCACAATTGTGACTACAGTGAACTGATTTATCCTGATTAAAGACAGCCCCTCATTAAGTGATCATGGTTAAAAGAACTGCATCTCATTTTAACTGCCTTAAAAGAATGAAAAAAGAACAACCAGACAATAGACATTTTGCTCAAATACATGGAATAAATGCACACGGGGCTTTTAATCCCATTACTTTCTAAGTTATAATGCAGCAAATGATGGATATTGAACGTTCAGCCTGTGTCTGGAGTGGTTTGTCCAGAGCTCCACATGGGCTAATGCAGGAATACAATGAGAATGTTTCATTATAGCACAGGATTAATGGAGTGTGTGTTTAATTAGGCCCACACATATGGTGCTGAAATCAGCTGGAGTCCATTCAACATTCTTATTTGGAATGGAATATGACGTAACTATCTTAGGTTATGGATTTACTGTACATCTCATCAATCTGAATGGTCTCTACCTAAAGCCCTGAGCTAAAGTCATGAGTCAGTGCTAGTGCAGCCTCTGCAGCTCAGGGAGGGAATTCTGGAGGTTCTGAGCTTGACATGAGGCCTGAACATAAACTGAGAATGAAACACACTTGCATGTGTCTCTATCTGCTGGTGAAGGCTCTGGTGACACAGGTTCAACTGTGACTGTAATAGTTTAGAGTGTAGGTGACATAATGCTCCTTTCAACTTAGTTGACTATACTAGTAATGGATAAAAAAAAAAAAAAAAACACCGGCCCCCCTCTGATGTCTTAATCCACAGATGTTCGTGATTTGTCCACCATACAAACCCTAAACAGTAAAGCTTATTGAGCTAACCTTATGAGAGTTTCAGAGAGCTCAGGATGGGGATGAGCTCGTGGGCAGTTTGTGTCTCACCTGAACCATCACTGAGACTCTCAAAGACTTTTAAAGAGCTAAAAAGTCCACACTCATGTGTCGGATGATTTGATTTGAAAGTGAGTAGAATAGAATGCAGGCTGCCCAGGTCTCAGTTTAAATACAATGCCTTCTCTTCTGTAGCAGTTACTGAAAACTGTAAGTAGTTAGACTGACAGATCTGTGAATGACAGACAGATCCAGTGTAACTGTGTGCACATCATTCACTGCTCTTCTGCTCTTCCTCAGCGCTCGGGCTCATCACCATTTTTCATTGTGGTTATGATAAGATTTGCAATTCATGTTTTAATAACATGATTCTATTCAAGGTTCACATTTTAAACACTTCTAGAAGAATTGATAAAAATGAACCAAAATCTGAACTTACAAACTATTCAAGAATCCCATGTGAGCAGGGTCAGGGTCAGGGTCAGGGTCAGGGTCAGGGTCAGGGTCAGGGTAGGCTTATGTACATAAGACAGGAGATTTGGTTGTTTTGGGGGAAATTATGGTACTGTAATTATATTAGTTGAGATTTGCTAATTGTGTCTTTCAAATTGCAATTTTGGTTTGATTATGATGAATCCTGCAGGACACAGAGACATAGACAAGGAAGGCACGTTTATTTGTATATAGCACAATTGGTACACAAAGTAATTCAAAGAGCTTTACAGAATAAGAAAAACATTAAAATAACATAAAAACAAATCCAAACAAAAAATAATCATCAAATTCATTCATTCAGGATTATTTGGATCATTTCAGTCCTGGAAAATCTCTGCTGAACTGAATCTGATCCCGTCAGATGTCAGAAGCTCAGCAGAACTGAGTTTGGTCAGGACTTGGATGGGAGATGCTGGGAAAATCAGGTGCCACAGGGGGGTGCCAGTAGTAAAAAAAAAAAAAAATGTTGTTGTGTCCTTCAGCAAGTTACTTCACCCACATTGCCTAGTATGAAAGTGCTGTGAGTGGTGGCCACAGGGCAGATTGGCAGCAACACTATTGTTGAATGAAGAATGCACCAAATTGTATAGAGACTTTAAGTGTCTGCTGAAAGCTCACAGGAGTAAATGTTGCCAAACATAAGACCTTTAATGACCTTTCTTCACTGTCTGAAGCTAAAATCTGGTGAAAATGACACAACAAAAACAAAATATCCCCACTGTGCCATAAAGGGACTACAGACATTATACAGCAGAGGTACTGCACAGCTGCTTGGTTTGGTTCACTCTGGTCTTGGTTTAGATCTACTTTAGTCCCAGTAGCCTACGTTGACAGCAGTGTTATATCCACCTTTCCACACAAAGTGCAGTCAACGTTTCAGAACCATGGACAGCGCCCCACAGCCCGGCCTCCCACTGCTGTGCTCTCAGCTCTCTCTATCCCCCACGTTTCATTTTTCTCATTCTGTTTCTCAAATTCTGGATTCCTCCACCGTTCTCATACTTGTTTTAGTCGATTTATCCTCCATTAGGTTATCTCTTTTTTTAATTATCTGAAGTAATGCAGCAAACCCTCAGAATTTATTCACATGTTTTAATGCATGTTGACACATAAAAACACCACTAAGCACTTTTTATCTGTAGAAACATTGATGTTTATTAAAGCTCAGGGTTTTATTGCCTTTGGTTTCATCATGTGACACAGTGCAGTCTCTCCCTTCGGAGCCTGTTCCAGGTGTGCTCCAGGAGCTGTGAGCAGGACACTTGGTTCTGCTTCCGAGGAGCTGACTCTAGAGGAATGTTACAAAGTTGAATTGAGAAAGACCCGACATCACAAAATTTAGTGTTTTCTGTTTAAGAGAAAAAACTAAATGTACAGGATTTGTGTGTTAAACAATGTTAACATATCTCTGAAATTTTGGATATAACTACAACATCTGGAAAAGACACACATTCTTACTGTTTTTTTTTTTTTTTTTTTTTTTTTTTTTTTATGCATATGGATATAATCACCCTAATCAGTACAAAAAGTGGTCGTAAGTACTGGTTTCAGTCTCCATAGGCAAGAGACACACTAAAACCTGCTGCTTCTCCTTTCCTCTCCACACGGGGGCGCAAACGCACTCACTGAACTCTCAAACAAAACGAAGAAAAGACCAAGCGAAGGCGCATGCGCAGTGCCTCTGTCTGTGCACACACTGCTGCTAATGCTAAGCTAAAGCGTCCCTCCGCAGTGTCCACCATGACCCAACATGTCCCCGGCACCACCACCGCTCCGTGCGCCGCGCCTAACGGACCTTTTACCTACGCACTGATTTAACATGAGGCGAGTGGAAGCGCACAGTTAGTGAGTCCGTTTCTCTGCTCACGGATCTGCAGAGCTGCCGTTAGCCTGTGAAGCTAACTGACGCTAGCCCCGTGAACATGGCGATTGTGTCTGGCTCGTGCGGCAGAGTGAGCGGGCCGTCTGTCCCGGGCGCAGGCTCCGTGTCCGGGGTGCTCTCTCAGCCCATGGTGGTGGTCTGGGAGTGGCAGGACGATCAGGGCTTCTGGCGGCCCTACAGCGGACAGGTCAGCGCCTACATCGAGCGCTGTCTCTCCCCGCGGGGACAGAGACTAGCGGGAGCCGGCCTCACGAGCATCTGCCTGGGACACTCCGACCCGAGCCTGGCGCAGTACCTCATAGACGTGCCGGGCCTCAAGCAGTTTCGACAGGACACAGGTGAAGTGTGCTTCCGTTTGTTCGTAGTCTCAGAGCCGAGAGCAGCGGAGGCCCTGGTCCATCCGAGCCGCTCACAGGCTCTAGTTTATCTTTCACCTGAAACCAGACGAGCTAAAATGCCACTAATGTGGCCACACCGGCTTGTCCAAGATCTCAGAAGTTCAGCAGGGCCGGGCCTGCTGAGGACTGGGAGGACTGGGACACCACTGGGACAATCAGGTGACGGGGGCACCTGTCACCAAAACTGTTGTTGTGTCAGGAGGATTTAGTGCTCACACTGCCTAGTATGAAAGTGGTGTGTGTGTGTTGAGTATTGTGTGTGTTGTGGTGGTTGGACGAGCTGATGGCGCAGATTGGCAGCCTCGCATCCATCTGTCTGCCCCAGGGCATCTGTGGCTACGCTAGTAGTTTACCACCAATGCTCTGTAAAACGTCTGAGTGTTATATAAAACTTATGCATAATAATAATAATAATAACAATAGTTATTATTATTATTATTCTTATTACTTATGTGAAGGACACATTTGTACTTACTGTATGTTGTGCAGTTTTAATAATATTGTGTTCTGTGAGATTTGAGTAATAATGAATTACTTTGTTGTTTTTGTTGCAGGTAAGACTCGTTCTGTGCGCCGCTCCCTGTTTGCCCAATCGTCAGGCCTGGGCAGTGGCGTGTACTGGGAATGGGCCAATGATGACGGCACTTGGACTCCATATGAAACTAGGACCTCCATTCTGCTGGAGCACAGTTATCAGGCTCGCCAGGGCACTGCCGATCTGGGCTCTCACGGCTATAACTATATCGTGGACCTCACGTCCCTGTCCCAGGTTAACAAGTCCACTGGGTTCAGAAGACAGGTGCGCCGCCAGTGTAACCTCCCGTACCCCTTGGCTCCTTCTGGGGCCCACTCTGGGGCCTCTGGACTTTCCTCTGGGGCCTCTGGCCTCTTGTCTGCAGCCCCCCCTGGACTATCTTCTGGGGCCTCTTCTGGACTCTCCTCTGGGGCCACTCCTGGAGTTTCCTCTGGGGCCCCCCCTGGACTCTCCTCTGGGGCCCCCCCTGGACTCTCCTCTGGGGCCCCCCATGGTCTCTCCTCTGGGGCCCCCCATGGTCTCTCCTCTGGGGCCCCCCATGGTCTCTCCTCTGGGGTCCCCCATGGTCTCTCCTCTGGGCCCCCCCCTGGACTGACCTCTGGGTCCCACCCTGGACTGACCTCTGGGGCCCACCCTGGACTGACCTCTGGGGCCCACCATGGACTGACCTCTGGGGCCCACCCTGGACTGACCTCTGGGGCCCACCCTGGACTATCCTCTGGGGCCCACCCTGGACTCTCTTCTGGGGCCCACCCTGGACTCTCTTCTGGGCCCCCCCCTGGAATCTCCTCTGGGCCCCCTCCTGGACTCTCTTCTGTACCTGTGTCTGTTTCTTCTGGACCTGCTTCTCTGCTTACAGGGCCCCCTGGGACCCCTTCATCCCTGGCCTGCTCCTGTCAGCAGTGTCTGAGTCACAGCTCCACGGGGCCCATGTCCAGTCGCTCACGCCACTCCTTCTCCTCAGGCAATCTGACCCGGCCGAGTGTGCAGAGCAGTGGAAGAGCTACAGCCGCTCACCCCACCTCTGTGTACTCGCCGTACCCCAGGAGGCCTCTATCTGTGGGCAGTGTGTCCTGGGGGAGCCCCTGGCTCCCACCTACTGCTGCTGGTCATCCCTCCACTCATCCATCCAGCTCCTTTAATGGGATGAGGTGAGTCAAACTGCTGATGATAATCTGCTGTGTTAAATGTTGATGTAACATTTGTAGTTCCCCAAAAGCATTTAGCGCGTATACATTGTGCTCAGTGTTTGTCCTTCTGTCCACAGTGTTCCCTCAGTGTCAGTGCACCTGAATGGCTCCACCAGTGTGAGTTCTGCCCTGGCAGGTAAATCCTCTTTCCTCATATTCTGTGTGTAATTGTTTAGAGCAGTGATGCAGGGCTCTACACCAACTTACACCCCACTTACACCCCACTTACACCCCACTTACACCCACTTACACCCCACTTACACCCACTTACCCCACTTACACCCCACTTACACCCACTTACACCACTTACACCCCACTTACACCCCACTTACACCCCACTTACACCCCACTTACACCAACTTACACCCAACTTACACCAGCTTACAGTAATAGTCCGCAGTTCTCCTAGAGCAAAGTGAATTTTCCAGATGGAGTCCACAGATCAGGCTGCACTTTGGCTGGTGGCTCAGCACTAGACTGGCCAGCAGAGGGAGGCCCCTTCTGCCCAGAGGCACAGTGAGGCAGAGAACAGCCTTACCTTTTTGGTGTTAGTCTAGAGCCCTGTGACATGGATGCATACTGATTCAACTGGCAGAGCTCGCTGACTGTGTTTTGTTGTGAGGTTGGTTCAGTTGTTGCATAGTCCTGTCTGGAAAAGACATTCCCTTAAGCCTAGTGTTAAACAGCAGCTGACTGAGTTGGGGTAAATTAATGGCGGTTTGTGGATTACTGTGGATTGGTTTCTATGATAGGTGGCCTTAAAGTACTGATCAAATGGGAGTGTTATGTATAGTGGATATTTCTGAGTTTATCACCATGAAATAATGGTGTTCCCTCATTATTATTGGAGTAGTTTGAAGACTATACTGTAGATTCATATAAACACACCTTAACAGTTTTGGCTGCTTTCTGCCACCTTTCTCACAGTCACATGTCTGCATTGTGTTTTTACACTTCACACACCTTCACCAGAATCATTTGGATGATTTCTTACCTGGAAGTGCTAGTCTCTACTAAACATAAAGTAAAATGAGCTATTAACTTGAAAACTACCACTACATGACATCACAAGGTGGAACAGGGCACACTGATCTTTGGTATGTAGAAAAAGAATAAACCAGGATGTGTGAAATAAAACACAACTCCAGGTTTGCCTCTCATTTGATAACAGCATTATAACATGGACATTATAAATAGGACCCTTAAACAGATCCTTGGATTGCGTCTTCTGCAGTCCATCCTCTTCAGAACTGTGTCTTAGGTGTGAGTGAGTCTGTACTCCTTACACATCATGATTCATAGTCTGGTGGGTGTGTTTCTGAGTCTCAATGCCCTCCCTGATTCAACAATGTGACGTGTTGAGCTCTGTGCCTGTGACCTTAGCATTGGAATTAAATTAAATGGGATTAAATCATATGAGCAGACACATCACAGCAACAGCACGTAACACTTGTGGTGAAGGAGCAGCATGCAGCCAAAACCGTCAAGGTCTGAAATAGTCCTCATTTGAGGATTTAGTGCTCACATAATTAGAATAAATAATAGATTAATTACAAAAATCGACGGTGGGTCATACATGTATGGTTCTAAAATGTCAGGTAAACATTTTTCAACAATAAAAAAGAGGAAATGCTCATCTGCTGCTTGTTGTGATGAAAGGCCACTACAACCAGGAAGAGCTAGTCAATGAGCCCATTTCTAGATCTACCCCCGTAACAAATATGTACAATTATTGTTATATCGTATTTGTTATTGCACTGAATACAAGAGACCGTACTGTTGAAACTCATTTACCACAATAACCCTAAAAAAGATTATCCCCCTAAACTATTAAATAAATATAATAGAAGATCATCCTTTATTGTCTCCTATGGGAGAAATTTGTCTTGGGACAGAGGGTCACATGCTTTAACACAAAGACAAAACAACACAGCAACAAAAGCCCAAACAAACAACCACCACAGAACATAAAACCAAGAAAAGTACGAGTGATATAACAGCGGAACCTTTAAGTCACTCTACTAGTATACAGCAAGCCCTTCAGTCTTCTATTCTAGTAGTAATTGCACTTGACTTGACCTGTGTGCAGTTTTGATATCAGCCTGAAGATAGTATGATCCATAAAAGTTATGTATGCAGCCTTCTTCAGCTCAGGCTTAATACCACATACAAGTAAAATATCACCTCTTTAAAATATGATCTGCAATAAATAAATCAATCAATAAATATAATCATGAAGATGGCATGTATGAGTCATAGAAGTTAATGTATTCAACCTCCTACAGAGCAATAACTGATACAACAATCTTCATGACAGGCCTACTCTTGTGTTGAGCAGTTTTGGATCAGCGTTGTGGTTTACAGAGTCCTAATGTCAAAACTTGATCTATTGTTATAGTTAAGTAGGAAACACTAAGACAAATGCTTTGCGTGCAAATGAATTATGAACATACGAGCTGCAGCTCATGGCAGCGAGCAGAAGAGGGTGTTCTTCTCTTAAGTTTGTGACAAAATGATACACACAAGTGTGTATTGTTCTTGGATACTAATACTGAACTCCTACTCAAAACACAACTCCAGCTGATGAGGACAAAGCAGCACACACTTACTTCATTTATCTGGTAACTGACAGATCAGAAAACAGTGTTATATGGTTCTGAGGAATCAATGTTAGAATAGTGTTTCCTCATCAAACACATACCTTGAGTTGTGTTTTGTTTCATTTATAGAAATCCTACAGTTCTTCTCTTGAACAGAAAACATTCTGTTCCACTTTGTGATGTCATGTGGTAATACTGGAAGTGCGCTCTGTTTTTAAATCCAATACACTTTCCCTAGAATAATTTGGATGATTTCGGTCTTGAAATTGCCAATCACTTCTAAACAAAAGGTAAAAGGTAGCTGCATCTAAACTACCACTATATGACACTATATGACATCACAAGGTGGAACAGATCATTTTGAGCTTTGGAGATATAGGCATGGAAAATGCTTACTCAAACATGTGTAAATGAAACAACATAACTCTAGGTATGTTTTTGAGGAGGAAACAACATTATAACATTAAACATTTTGGTGTAATATAGGACCTGTAAATGATCCATTCATCACAGTTACTCACGGTTAATAACATTTCTTAATCTAAATGCAGCAAATGGTGAATGTAGACGACTGTATACTTTAAAGCCTCACATGAGGGGTAAACCACACTTTAAATGGCTTTATTGACAGAGGTTTCTTTATGTGCTGTGGAGACGTAACTGCTTTATTCAAGTGCGTTTGTGCTCAAAGCAAAATGAAACGTGTCAACAGTCCTTTATCTTGACAACACTGTAAACATGGAGCCTGAAGTCACGTGCTTTAGAGGCCTAGGGATCCCTCATGAAAAAGCCAACTTTTCTCTGAACCAGCACTACAGAGTTATTTGTCACAAATAAATGATCTAAGCATGAGCCTGCAGAAGAGCCTCATGTCCAAGCACCTGTATGTTCAACTGTGGCCAAACACTGGTTTGTGTTGTGGCTGTGAGCACAGAGCCATGTAGACCTGTCACAAGAAGTGTTATGTCGCCTCATCGTTCAGTACATGACAGATGAAGCATTTTAGGGTCAGGATATACAGTGGGAACTGTTTGGATACACGCTGCCTCCCTAGATTTTGGAGAGCTCTGTTTTTAGGTGACATGAGTGTTCTTGGAGTTGCCATTGTAACATTTTTCATTGTTGATTTGTCCCTCTTCCATACCACCGCTCGCTCTCACCTCACTGCCCCCTCCTGCCCCTCCCTCTCCATCTCACCCGCTCCAGGCATGGCCTCCATTTTGATGTCGGCGGTGGGCCTTGGCGTGCACTTCCACAGTGCGGCCCTACCTCAGCAGCCTCTGCAGCCTGTGCAGCCTCTGCAGCCTGCACCTGTGCTCCAGCCTCCAGCTCCCTTCTCTGTGCCCGTACCTGTGCCCGTGCCAGTGCCCCCAGGCCCAGTCGGCAGGCCCAGCCAGCCCCACAGCAGCAGTTCAGTTAGAAGTACTAAAAGGCAGCTGAGGAGAGGTAGCCACCATGCACTGCCTCTCGCCCCTCACCCCACGCTCCATTGTCAGACATTCACTCACTGAGTGGGCCGCTGCTTGTCCAAGTCGGAAGATCTCATGTCTGTGTGTAAAATCATGATTACTGTAAATTCCAAAAACATTTACAGGTTGAAAATGGAAGGAATTAGTTATTTCTGTCGTAGGGAATTTGACCAACTGTTGGAATGTGCAGGGGTGATCATTTCTAGTTCGTTTTTGTTTGTTTTTTTTGTTTTTTTTATAAATCGCCTCATTTAAAATCATGAGACTCAAGAAAACTAAATTAATTCAAGTGGAACTACTACAGGTAGAAAGAGACTGTGGAAGAAACTACTGATGGTCATTTAAAGTGTGAAGACGTTGCCCTACATATATATATATAAATATATATTTTATCATATATATATATATATATTTTTTTTTTTATTTAATTAAAAAAAATATTTTTTTAAACATGCTGGTGACCATAGTCGGGCTTATTATGACTTACACTGCCCACTTGACTCTCATGGGTTTGTCCTCCCCTCAGCTCCTGACAACACAGGGCTGGTCAGGAGATGCTTCTGTTGTCCAATGATTTTGTCAGACTCTGAATGTCTCACAGAGTCCTTAAAAAGCTATGGCCTATAAGTTTTGGATCTGCTGCTGAAATGCAGGTAGCTCATAAAAAAAACATTTTTTCCCTCTTAAGCAAGTGCAATATTTGACATTTTTCATGGTCTCAGGATGTTAGCAGGATTGTATATCTTGAAAGTTTAAGGTTTACAGTGGCTCCCCTCATAATTGAATCAGCTTTGGAGTTGAGTGACCAGTGACATGTAAATTGTGGGAGGCCACATATGTGTATGTTTTAGTTGTTTTGGCTGCTGTGTGCATTCAAAGTGCCATGTTCTCTGACCACAGTGCACATGTCTGCTTCTCATTAGGTCCATAATCACTGTCCACCACCTTTGTTCTGCATGGTGTACTTTAAATGAGCGTTTCATTTCAAACTGAAGCATCAGTGATAGTAGTGTTAGAACGTGTCTGTGCACACACACACGTACACACGCACTCACTGCTTTGAGCTTAGTTCCTGTACTGTCCTCATGTCACTCAGTGAGTAAAGTGCTTGTGTGCATATTCCTCCGTCACATGCTCACGTGTGTCCTGTGTTACAGCCTGTGCTCAGAGGCCAGAGGAGGTGATCCAGCGCTACATGGAGGTAGTGGTTGGAGTGCCAGACGAGGTATGTGTCTTTACTGAAATGGTCTCATCAGACCTAAACCTGGATTAAGACTTTCTTCTTTTCAGGACTGCATTATCTGTATGGACCAGCTCTCCAATCCTTCCACTTATGAGCTCCCAGCCAAAGAGGACAGATGCCCTGTGATCGAACCAGACACTGTGGGCAAGTTCATCAAGTGTGGCCACACGCTGCATATGCTCTGTATGCTTGCCATGTACAACAACGGCACCAAGGTACACATGTGTGCAGCCACACCACTACTGCACACTGACTATGAAATATATGAGGCTCAGTCAAAGAGTCATAGTGTCACAAATGAAGATGATCTGTGCATACCTAATGGCATTCATGCATAACTCTTCACAGTAGACTACACTACCATTGGAATGAACCACCTGAGAGGTGCTCTTAGCCTGATTCATACATGCACATGCACAGCACTTAACATGTGTGAGGAAACATGGACACAGAGTGCTTTATTATGCACATGTGCTTTATTCTGGGCCTTTGTGAGAGTAGACCTGTTTGTCTGCTACTATCTCAAAAGAATCATTAAAACAAACACTTGTGCAACACTCACTGCTCAGGCAGGCTGCTCTTACATCCTAACCCCCGGTTTACACCAAAAGGTAACAGTGCATAAGTGCAGCAGCACAGCATACAAGCAGCACACGTGCAGGTAATGCTTTTCATTTTATCTGGTCAGACAATTTACACCAGCAGTGTCATACGTGCGTCCAATGGCCGTCATTACATTATGTACCGCTCAGATTAGGTTGGAGTTCAAATTTTTCAGTGTCAACGGGGTGTCTTCAGTTTTTTTAGCAGGGGAAAGACAGGAAATAAGCATGAGCTGTCAAAATAAACTTCTGATGCCCTTTCAAAATACATTCTGTTAAACCACTACAGTTGCGTAAACATCGTGCATCACATCAGGAGCTCAGGGAATTACTTGTGATGGACTACGGAAAGTTTACTGCCATGGAGGATAAATATAAAACACTTTATGACATCAGACAGAAACTTTACAAGAACAACTTGTGAAGGAAAAGGCACATAGAGCAGACGACCAAAGTGAAATGGTGAGGAGCTTCAATAATGTGAGCACCGCAGATACGACTCATTATCGCTGCAAAGCATCGTCTCTTGTGTTATCAACTTTTGTATTCTGATTTAAAACATAATTCATCCAGTCAACAATGAGTACATAAACAATATAAAAAGTGTAGTGTTTAAACGTGAGAATACACAGAAGCAGTGCTGTTATCTCTGGTGTAAATTGAAGTTTTAAAGTACACACATATGCAGCTCTGCCTACGTTACGTGTCGCTGACACTCTTGGTGTAAATTCTGGGTAACTCTTCACAAATAAGATCTCTAACCCAAAACAGTGACCCAGAATTGGAATATAGTGCCTCCTGTGGACAGCAGCTGTGCATGTGTCCTCGGTCTATGGTCATTATCTTCTCTCCTCTACATTTAGAAGAAGCTACCCTCTTGTTGCAGGCCTATTGACATTGCCCCACTTACTGTGTCTTTAAAGTGACAGGTGTTAGAGTGAGAGTCGTTCGCAGGGGGAAGAAACAATTCTTGTGGCGAGAGCTTCTGTAGCTTCTTACCTGAGGATTGCAGCTCAGATGGGTCATGTACAGGGTGTGAAGGATCAGAAGAATATTTTGGGAAGTGGATTCTTTGGACTCAGAAATCATTTGCAATTTCTCACAAATATTACATGGATAACTCAAATGATGCCCTGAAATTGTGTTCAGTACAACACATGGATGTATTAGCATGGCAGTCATGGTTTATGCTTATTCTTGTCAGCAGAGGGAGCTCTAACACACATCTATTTACTTGTTAATAGTGTGTATAGTGTGTTGTTAACATGAAATGTCAAAAGCATGTTAAAAGGTTCTATATTATGCAAAGAAAGATTCATGTGAGTTTTATGCCATATTATGTTACCTTTTATAAAAAAAAAAAAAAAATTAAAAATCTGATGTTGTGTTTCGTTTCATTCACACATGTTTGAGTAATCCATAACAGCTACTTTTATCTTAGTTCAGTAGAGACTGGCAATTCCAGGACTGGAATTATCCAAAACATTCTGGTGAAGGTGTATGGATTTTAAAAACACAGTGGAGGTCTTCCTGTATTTCCACATGCCACAAGGTGGAACAGAGTGTTTTGTGTTTGAGAGAAGAACTCAGCCTAAATCTGCAGGATGTGTGAATGAAACGATGAGAAAACATTCTTATAGTCCAGAAAAGAATGCAATATTGGAAAGAAGACCAAAGTAAAGAGTGACGTGTCCCCTTTAAAAAGACTTTTGCGTTTCAGGATGGCAGCCTGCAGTGCCCCTCGTGTAAGACCATCTACGGAGAGAAGACGGGCACCCAGCCAAAGGGAAAGATGGAGATCTACAGCATCTCCCAGTCCCTGCCTGGGCACCCTGATTGTGGCACCATCCAGATCATCTACAGCATTCCCCCAGGCATCCAGGTATATGCCGCTGCAGTCAAGAAATCAATAATGCACAGCTGCATACGGTAATGTAACATGTGCACGTGTGTGTGTGTGTGTGTGTGTGTGTGCGCGCGCGCGCAGGGCCCAGAGCACCCCAACCCAGGCCAGCCGTACACCTGCAGAGGCTTCCCCAGATTCTGTTTTCTCCCAGACAACACTAAGGGTCGAAAGGTGATGTATAATCCAACAGAGCCTGACTGCAGCACTTTCTGATTTCTTTAAAGAGGAGGAGACAAACCACATCTGCCTCTCTCATTACTCTAACCTAATTGTCCACTTATGAAAAAGTACCTTGAGTCCAACTCCTCAGTTTGAGCTGTCCACTTATCCGGAACACTGTACCATCTCATATATACAAAACAAGAATGCTGTTATGTTTCAGCCAGTAATCTGCTTGTATGTGGCCTCTTAACTTTTTTATCTTTTGTCTAACCTTTTATAGAATGTCCACTATCTTCAGTGCTGCATTTCACACCTGTGCAGCTGAAACTGGCACATTTACAGAAATGTTTATTAATGTGTATTGTCCCAATTCAAATAAAGCATTACATCAAATGAAATAAGCAGGAGGAGCAGGTGTGAGTGGTCTGCAGCTCTCTAAAGCTCTCCTCTATCCATCAGGTGTTGGAGCTGCTGAAGGTGGCCTGGATGAGGCGTCTGATCTTCACCGTGGGGACCTCCAGCACCACTGGAGAGCCGGACACTGTGGTGTGGAACGGCATCCACCACAAAACCGAAATGATGTCCAATCTGTCTGGACACGGTTACCCCGACCCCAACTACCTGGACAATGTCCTGTCCGAGCTGGCCTCGCAGGGCATCACAGAGGACTGTCTCAGAGCCCACAGCTGAACCTCCACCACTCTAAAGGAACCTTTGAAGAAGCACTTTAGGTTTACAGTGATTTAGATGAACAGCGCTGGCATTTGTCTGAATCTTGCGTGTATATGACTAGTCTGTTAAGGCATCAACACAGATGACAAGATCCATTCATGATGAGAGACCACATCAGGGCTGCAACGATTCATTAGAATAACTGACTAATAGACTTTTAAATAATTGCTCATTGTTATCTGGTCTGTTCTGGTCAAAAGACATTTGATAACACAGTGGCATTAAATCTAAATGGCCAAACCCCAAACTGGATTTTCATTATTAACACACGTCATAAATAAATATTCTCCATCTAGCAGCCCTCAGTCAGATTTGACCTTTTCATCTGGGTCAAAATGTACAATAGAAATAAAAGTGTACAATAGTGAAAAATGATTGTTTGACTAGTTCACTGGATAAAAACAATTGCAGATTTGTTGACTACTCAAATGATACTTAAAGGGCCCATATTAGGCTATTTTCTTATCAAACATGCCTACAGACATACCTGCCTACAAAAGGTAAAAGGAGCTGTTACCTTTAAAACTAGGGCTTCATGACATCACAAGGTGGAAGAGCATTTTGGGCTTTGGGGATGAAGACATTCTAACATTGCTTAAAGCTCACAAGTCCATTTTGTGTGATATAGAAGTGTTAATGCAGCAAACATCTTTCTGGGTTAAACAAACTGAAGTGAATCATCCAGGAAGGTTCCATCACAAAAGAAAATGTAGTTCAAGTCATAAATATCTGTCTGAAAGGAGGAGCTTACTACACTGAAACTAACACACTGCATCTGTTCTTAGGTGACATTTCACACCTTAGGGTAGTCCAGTGGAAAGGTCATATTTTGTATTCGCTTTCATGCCCCTGATGGGTGATCTAACTTCTATGACATGTTGAGACTATCCCTACAGTTTGCTCTGTTTTAGCTCTGAGGATGTTCTAAATGGGAGACCCTCCATTTCTGTACTGTTCCGATTCTTTCCTGACACATATTGCAATCTCTTTGACTCTACTCTTGATTATGCAAAATACAACTCATATAGATATTTCATGTTTTAAGTGCACCCCCGAAATGCAACTTTTAAAGTGTGTTTCATTTTCTGCTGCTTCACTCAGTACAACTTGTTGCACTATGCTCTGTTGTCTGAGGCTCGAGACCCAAAAATGTATTTTCAAATAAATTCTCGCCAGGCGAGAAAGTACATTTTTGGGTCTGATTGACCCGCCCCAAGAGACGGCAGGCAGGAAAAATATTTTTTCTTTGGGTCAATGTGACCCTAAGGAGCGCGTGAGGGTTAAAGTAACATGACCCTGTTTTTACATGGTTATAATCAAATCATATTACCCATCACATATGCAACTATATTGAATTAAATTGTGTTTTGAAAACTGATTTCAAAATTCATATTTCATTAAAATTGCTAATAAACTTCAGAATATAAATTATTTTGAAGTTTCAGGGCATTACATAAACAATAAGTTTCATTAGCTCCTCTCTCCAGACAGACAGAAGGCAGTGACTCACCTGTATCAGAGATGAAGAAGCCTCTTGGATGAGTGGCCATCGTATACAATTATAAAGAACATTTCATCTGTTGATGGAATCCTGTTTGCTTGGGTGATCGTGAGGGCTTGTGCAGGTGCATCAGTTCCTGCTCAGGAATGGAAGATTCAAGGAGGTTACGACTTGCCTTGTCCTCTACAACCACAGAGTGAAGAAAAAACATCTATAATGATGTACACCATGTTCTATTGAAATGACTAGTGCCTTAAATGAGCCTTTAATGCAGTTTGAGTTACTCTCCAGCCAAGTCCACATCCATGACATAAGAAAGATGGAACTCGACTACAAACTAAATGTGAACTGTCTCTCACAAACCTCTTCTGTAGCACATCAACTTTAATTTAAAGCCGCGCGTGGCAATGGTGGCCCTCGCCCCCAGCGTGCACCGCCCCCCCACACGACCACCGCCCCGGCACGCCACTCTCTCTTCCCGACAGCCGCCCAGGCTGACAGCTCGTCCATTAGACACATTACATAATGCACCTTTAAATATTTTTAGCAGTCATTGCGCTCCTGCTGGCCAACAGTGAAAAATGCACCATGTCCATTATTTATTTTTTTGCTCATAATCATGCATAGAACTTATTCCCTGAATTTGTTACAAATCCAATAATGTTGACATGTCATGTGTATTCTAGGGGGCGCTATAGAGTTCACTTTTCATATACTTCATAGTGTATTATGTTTAGGCCGTGATCATGCCTTAGTGATTCAAATTTCAGCACAATCGGACTAAACCTGTTTGTGTAATGATTTTTTAAATATTTTTGGGGGGAGTCTTTGCGCCCCTGCTGGCCAATTGTGAAAAATGCATCATGTCCGTAATAGACTTTTTTGCTTGTATTCATGCAGAATTTAATTCCAAAATTTTGTAAATTCCGATAAGGTTACCGTTCATGTCTATGCTAGGGGGCCCTGTAGTGTTAATTTTTCATATGTTTAATAGTGTATTATATTCAGGCCGTGATCAGGCATTAGTGATTCAAATTTCTGCACGATCGGACTAAGCCTGTTTGTGTAATCATTTTTTTACTATTTTTTGGAGGAGTCTTTGCGCCCCTACTGGCCAACTGTGAAAAATGCACCATGTCCGTAATGGACTTTTTTTTACTAGTAATCATGCATAGAATTTATTCGCTGAATTTGGTCCAAATCCGATAATGTTGACGTTTCATGTCTATGCTAGGGGGCCCTATAGAGTTCACTTTTATTAGATTTCATATTTCATCACATTCAGGTCTGGATCACACAATTGTGATTTGAATGTGAGTTCTCTGGGACAATGCCTGTGGCCGTGACACGTCACCGAAAAAACAGGAAATGAAGGCCTTTTTTCACCGGCGTGCTACGGGCGAACCGTAAGGAGTATCAAAAATCCTTCTGATGCATTTTATGAGTTTATGTCTGTAGTTGTGACATGTCAAATCTGAGCTCATTTGGACCAAACCCCGGGGACTTGAAACTTTTTGTAGACCCCCAAGTCAAAACGGCGCCGAATGTTTGATCCAATATGGCTGACTTCCTGTTCGTCATAGGGTCATGCGCCAATTCATCTTTTGGCTTGTCTCATTGTTCTCTATCACTGTCCTGAATTTCGTTTCCCTGCGACAAAGTTTGCATGTCCCTACTCCCATAGGGGTCCAATTCCAGGCGGCGCTGTTGAGTCGGGTCACTATAGTCATTGTCGTGATGCCCATTTTATCAAATTTTTTGCCGCGCCGATCGATCTGAACACCGGTTTGGGGACTTTTTGTCGACGTTCAGGGGGTCAAAAATGCAATTGTTTGGTCGGAAAAGGTAATAATAATACTTAAAGCCGCGCGCGGCGATGGTGGCCCTCGCCCCGGGCGCGCACCGCCCCCCCACGCGACCTCCGGGGACTCGCGACTGCCCCGGCACGCCATTCTCTCTTCCCGACAGCTCCCGAGGCCGACAGCTCATCCACCAGAAAAATTACATAGTGTACCTTTAAATGTTTCAGAGGAGTCATTGCGCCCCTGCTGGCCAACCGTGAAAAATGCCCAATATCCATAATATACTTTTTTGTTCACAATCATGCATAGAATTTAATCTCCAAATTTGGTACAAATCCGATAATGTTGACGTTTCATGTCTATGCTAGGGGGCGCTATAGAGTTCACTTTTCATATGTTTTATAGTGTATTATAATCAGGTCGAAATCATGCATTTCTTATTCAAATTTCAGCACGATCAGACTAAGCCTGTGGCTGCAATCATTTTTTAACTATTTTTGGGGGGAGTCTATGCGCCCCTGCTGGCCAGTGGTGGAAAATGCATCATGTCCGTAATAGACTTTTTTGCTTGTAATCATGTGTAGAATTTAATCCCCGAATTTGCTACTAATCCGATAATGTTGACATTTCATGTCTATGCTAGGGGGCTCTATAGAGTTCATTTTTCATATGTTTTATAGTGTATTATGTTTAGGCCGTGATCAGGCATTAGTGATTCAAATTTCAGCACGATCAGACTAAGCCTGTGGGTGTAATAATTTTTTAACTATTTTTTGGGGGAGTCTTTGCGCCCCTGCTGGCCAGTGGTGGAAAATGCATCATGTTCGTAATAGACTTTTTTGCTTGTAATCATGCATAGAATTTAATCCCCGAATTTGGTACAAATCCGGTAATGTTGACGTTTCACGTCTATGCTAGGGGGCGCTATAGAGTTCACTTTTATTAAATTTCATATTTCATCACATTCACACCTGGATCACACAATTGTGATTTGAATGTGAGTTCTCTAGGACAATGCCTGTGGCCGTGACAGGTGACAGGAAATGAAGGCGTTATTCGCCGGCGTGCTACGGGCGAACCGTAAGGAGTATCCCAAAAAAAGTTGAACATTTCTGTGAGTTTATGTCTCTAGATGTGACATGTCAAATCTAAGCTCATTTGGCCCAAACCCCGGGGACTTGAATCTTTTTGTAGACCCCCAAGTCAAAACGGCGGCGAATGTTTGATCCAATATGGCCGACTTCCTGTTCGTCATAGGGTCATGCTCCAGTTCATCTTTTGGCTTGTCTCATTGTTCTCTATCACTGTCCCGAATTTCGTTTCCCTGCGACAAACATTGCCTGTCCCCACTCCCATAGGGGTCCAATTCTAGGCGGCGCTGTTGAGTCGGGTCACTCGGGTCATTGTTGCGATGCCCATTTTATCGAATTTTTCGCCGGGCCGATCAATCTGGACCTCGGCTTGGGGACTTTTCGCCCATGTTCAGGGGGTCAAAAATGCGATCGTTTGGTTGGAAAAGGGAATAAAAAAAAAAAGAAACCGACGAAGAACAATACCCCTCGCCCCTGACTTTGTTAGTGGCGAGGGCCAATAAAGAAACCGGCAAAGAACAATAGCCTAACTGGCGAGGGCCAAATATCACTGTCAGTGTTCATCTGCATCTGTTTCATTTCCATGATCAAAGATTCACTGTAACGAGAAGTGCTGTATCAAAACTACATTTAAATAGGCCAAGACTAGACTAGTGTAGACTGGTCCTTCTCTATAAGCGGACGAGCTGTTGGAGTGGGGGCCCCCAAGAGCATCTAAATGCAGAGGATGAATAATGTTTCATAGCCCTTCAACACTTTTCTTGTTTCCAGTTGGCTGAATTTTTCAGAAATTCTTCCCATTCCACTGTCCAGTGCTGGTCTACTGTTCTGGTTGCTGGTGCTCAC